CTGTGGTCTAAATCACCCTCACGTGCTCTAATGTAGGAGCATGCAACAATGGTTTGGTTTTTTTTAAGTAAAATTTCTGTTTTTTCTTTTAATGGAGGTACTGGGGATTGAACCCAGGACCTTGTGCATGTTAAGCACGCGCTCTACCCCAGAGCTATCCCCACCCACCCCCAGAAGTGATGGTATTTCTAAAGCAAGTCAATGTAAGAATGACAAAATCAAAATTACAAAAACAAAAGACGTTAAACATTTCAGCGGTGAGAATAAATAGAAATGGAGAACTGTAAGTTGCAGAGAAATGTAAGTATTTGATAAAATGTCAAATTAACTGGAGAAAGGCTTAAAAATAAGCACTCTACCCATCTAGCCAAGAATACTTGGTTAAACTCACAGGGTCTGGGTGTGAATTCTTGCCCCTTTGCTTTACCAGCCACATAACCATGGGACTCAAACATTCCATAGCTCAGGGTCCTCAGCTGAAGAGGGGAATTTAAACTAAACACCACTTAGGGTTATAGACACACTCTTGATATTGCAAAAGCACCAAATGCAAGTTTATTATTATTTCAACTGTTAAGATGTGTCATCCTTATTACACAATAGGAAACAGGATGCCTGTCACACAGCAGACTGCCAATATATATATTTTTGAATGAATAAATATGTGAATACACAAATAAATTTCATAGATTAGACTCTCAATGTGAAATACAATATATGAATCTATTGCTGGATATTCTCTTGAGAGAAGTTGATTATTAATGTTCATTAAAATTTCTTCAGAAACGCCAGGTTGGTCTAAAAATTATGAAAAGAATTAACACAAAGTGTAGTGAAATATATATATATTTCATATATATATATATATATATATATAGACATATGTTACACACACACACACACACACATAGCCTAACGGATGGGGATTTTTAAATTGTTGCTTTGTATAATAAGACTGAAAATCAGGTGAATACAGGGGTTTATTAAGGTCTATGGAAATGACTGTCAAGTTTTGGAGAATCCGCATGGTTAAATGCTAAGCTTCAGGAGGGCAGGGCGGTTTCTTTTTTCAGCTATTTTGCCAGGATCTAATAAAAAGTCTGGCACATTATAGATCCCGAGATGCTGTCGGGAGAGAAAAAAAATCATTTTTCTCAATATTACTTCTCGACAGAATGTTCGAATTTTAACACATTTTATACATCTTTTGCTACTCGGAAATAAAAATGACAATTCTCACTTTGTGTGGGACTTGGGCTTGGAGTGACTTTTCCCCAGGTGAGAAATGAAACAGAATGATCTAGTGTCTTAAAAATGTGAGAATGGTGATGTGTGTGCGCGTACACATAAGTGTGCATGTGTGTGTGGTGGAGAGGGGTGGTAAAAACGCACACACATCAGATTAAAATCCCTCAGGAATATCTGACCTAAACATTTTTTTCTTTTTTTTTTTTTTTTGACCTAAACATTTTTTGAAGGAAGACTCTAGCCTGGCAAAAGCAATTAACTCACCTTTTACTTATGACACTTAACACAATGAATCTGTTCTTATATTGAATGTGTATATCTAGGGCTTATATTATATCAACCTATACATGTATCTAGGGAATGTATATAGCTAGGTTTAAGTTCAATTTCCAAAACTTCAAGGAAAACTAAAATCAAAATAAAATGTTTTATTGTAAATCAAAATGTTTCCTTTTTCAAATTCCAATTTACCTTCCAAATCCACACTCTTCAAGTTCCCATGACATAAGCTTTCTTGTCCCCAAGATTTTATTCTCTCCTCCTTACTTGCAGGGCAGAATACAACATCCAACTTATCTAACCACATCCACTAAAAAACAAGCCAGAATGATAACAGAACGCCCAACCTCACATTATAATGAGCTAGGGTTTTCTTAAGCCTTAGAACGCTTTACAAAAATTAACGAACACGGGGTCAAAAAAACTTAATAGATGGATGGCAAGCTATTTGGGCAGATTTATGATAGGGAAGCAGCAACAGAAATGAAAGCATGAGTTATAAGTCAAACCACATGCACACTTACGGAATTTCTGCAGCTACAGAGAAAAACCCTGCAAACAGTACAGAGAGAACATGACTGCACCAAAACCTACGTCTTCATTTCCAAAATCAACACTTTAAAACTTGCCAGTGGGAAAGGGCTTTCGGGTCAGTCCTAACCAGGCTTCTGACTTTAATCTCTAGGGGCACTGGCTCCTTCATCTGTCTGATTCCGACATTCCAAGTGCAAACTGGACATGTGCTTTGCAACTGTGGGACAATCCCCCTTTCCTCAAGATCTCTACTCCGTAAACGGAAACCACTTGCCTATGGGGTGGACATTCTGCTAAGTGTATCATTAAGGGACTTGACAGTCATATTTGAGACTGGGGTATTTTTATCCCAGTCAACAAAATTGAACCCTAAGGTACAGCAAAATGCATGTGCTGAACTGGGTGCTACAAGCTGAGCATCACTTGAATGAATCAAACCTCAAAGAAGGGGAAAAAAGTCTTTACACAGAGTATTTCTTGCTGTTGGGCCCCATTTGGTATAAGACGGAGGCAGTATTTATTTGCTAGGGATTTTCACACCCTCTTCATCACCAAATCTCACCGCAGAGGCAAGAAAGAGGAGTTTGACCAAGCTCAGCATGCATTTGGGGCCGTAGGCCTAAGAGTGGCTGCATTTGCCCTAACTAACAACTTCTGACAGAAGAGAAAATAAAGGAGCAAATGGAAAAATAGTTCATAATTAAAACATTCTGAAGTGAGGATCAGATTCAGGAATTCATTTTAGAGAAAGAAAGAGAAGATGATGCAGCAGAATATAGACTAACCCCCTCATTTAGAGAACAACTTGCACTTTCTCATAAACCTAAATTAATTTAGAATATTTGCTTCCACTGATGAATCTTTTTTTCCAACTTTTTTTTTAAAGAAAAGAAGATTGTAATTACAACTGATGTTGAACTTACAGTCTAATTTCACCCCTGAATGATGACAGTGGGGTCCCCAGCTACACGGGGTCACGTGTTCCACTCAAGGTTTCTTCAGAGAAATTCACCAATGCCTGACTCCAAAACCAAGTCCCGGATTTCATTGTGTCATTCTGTTTAATGTTATAATTGTCTGGATTCAATTCATTTCTCATGATAACGTTAAGTAAACTCACAATTGTATTTATAAGCTACAGTGAGGTGGAGTTTATTGGCTGAATGTTGATGTCATTTAACAGCTCGTTCCCACTGTATCAATAAATTCTTGTCCTAGCGCCCTCTTCTCCAGCTCACAGTAAATGCCTTAAATCTTTCCCTGAATTTCCTTCTAAAATCAATGGGACATTTGGTAACATGAGCATACATGGGATTCCTATCATGGGTGCTTATCCATATTTTAGCTCTGAATTAAAAAAAAAAGTTTGTTTCTAAAACATTTCAAATGCTCAAATGCTAGAAATCAACTGACAGATTATGTGCAGTCATCGCAAAACCCAAAGTCCCAGAGGTAAGAGTCACCTGCTTCATTATATCATCCTATTGATTTAACTGTGTTTAATTAATTTAAATTACTTTTATTTGATGCTTATAAATTCACATCCTCTCTACTCCAAGGGTGAGAGATAATGGAAGGAGTTCAGCTAGAATGACAAAAAAAGAGTTTGCTCTAAATTTCAAGAAATGGACTCAACACCAGAGGATATTTTTTACCCGTGGCTACAGCTTACCTTAAAAGAATATAAAAAGCCATCATTAATTATAAGCTTAATTCATTTGCTTCATTCCTCTAATTGCTAGCAAATATCAAAGTCAAGCGGAAGGACTGTAATGCAGCAAACCTGAAATGCATGGAGTTTCCATGAAACGGCAGCACAAAAGCCCGCAAGCTTCCCTCCAAAGGCACCCAAATATCCTTATGGGCATCACTTGGGAAGTGCATTTGGAGAACATCTCAATTGCAGCAATGTTTACTGCAGTCAGCCAGTTCAAGTTCAAACGACTGACAGACTAACATTGCATTGAAAAAGAAACTTAAAAACTTCAGTGAGCATGGAGTCAGAGCAGCACTTTAATCACATTCTGTGGTGGAATGATGGTTAGGGCACTGGTGGACGGCACTGTGACGCACTTGTGTCCTGACCACACAGGCAGCCCGTGAATAGCGGGTTCACAGCACCCTTTCTTTCTGATTTGAAATCAGCTGAACATTATCAAAAGTGGTATTTGGCTTTACATTCTGAAACACAGGCAGTCTCTTGCTGGGAGTTTTAATTGCCCTGTTACCAAAATTCATTGTCAAACAAAAAAAATCAAGTTCAATAATAATAAATCTTTGTCTCATTTCAAAAATCCCTGATGGGATGACAGGCATCTCCAAGGAAAAAAATATGATCCCACTAAAAGTGGGGAGGCAAAATAAAAAGGTAAACCAATGCCACAAAGCTGGCGACAAAATCCTGATAAATAATAATTCTTCCAGAAGAGATTTCTGTTTTCTGTTCTTATTTTTATAATGTTTTTTACAAAATGCTTTTTCTTCTTCTTCTTTTTTTTTTGGCTAATGAACAAAGCAGCCAAAAACTGTACTCTTATTTTTTTCAGGTAGCATGGTGAAGTTTGTATGTTAACACCTGCAATGCCACGCCCACTCACTCAGGGCTCCAGGAACTTATACCACCTTGATTCCCTTAAGCAGGGGCTCTCAGGACTGTGTAGCTGCTAAGCTCAGCGCACTCAGAAGAAACCTAAAGCTAGCACAGGGTTGTGCTGGGCTGTCTCTCCTTCGCTCTTTTCCCCAAGGAAGAAAATGAGTGAAGGCTCTCTGTGCAGAATGAATCAGGCATATTTTTCAAAGGCCCCAGTGGTCAAGCCACTTCGCACTTGGGAGAGAACCTTGCTTTGGATACCAGTTGCTTTAGGCTACGGAACCCCCTCGCACCTCAAACCAGGGCCGCCCACGATGGTGTATTATCAACTCTGAGAGATGCCAAATACCTGTGAAAGGGGGCACTCCTTGGCCAAGGAACTCTGGTTCATATCCTTCAGTAAGTCCTTCAGCGCGTTCCTGACAGTGGTGTGCGACCACTGTTCGGGAGGCAGGTCTTCGAGTTTGGGGCAACTATTGGAGACATAGATTAGAGAGGGGATTATGACAAGATTGCATCCCGCTGCAGAACATTCCTTTAAGACAGACAGATTTCATTTTGCGCATCAAACAGATGCATCTGGAGATTGCTCTCGGTCTCCTGATTGTTCCGATTAGTTAATTACTTTATACAACACATCTGCTGTATCGATGCATGAATTATACATCAGCTGCCTGTGGTGGCTATTTTTTCATGTTACTTCTACCTCCCTGCTCTGATGCGCTCGGGAAGACAATTTAAGGTGTACTGCTTCCTCACGAGCCATCGTGAAAACCATTAACGTAGTAACCGTTTTCCTTTCACGACTCTGCTCAGACGAATAAAAATGGTAAAAGAATATAAATATATATATAAAAATAAATAAGATCTCAGCAATCGTGAATAAGGCATTCTTTCACAAAACGTACCCAGATGGCACTGTTCATGATATGCAAAAATATTTTTCTCTTAAGTAAACTTTATGTAAAATGCCTTCTTGTAAGGCATCATTTAATTGACTAAATAAAAAGAGTCTCGTCTTTTGATAACCTGCACAAATCGACCCAGGTTGGGGGGAAAAGTGGCTTCTAAATGATAGATTGAAGTTGGGAAGATAAAACAGAAGGGGGTTCAGGTCACAAAATCAACTGGGATTAACCTTTCTGAAACAAAGAGTAAATAACAATTGAAGGTTGACCAGAGATGCTTTGTTTCAAAAGATCAGGTAAGGAGCATGTTCCGCAGGAGAAGTGCTGCCCTGACTCACCTGTGTAACTGAATTTTCAGTGTGACCACATGATACACGTCCTGGAGCATATCCGCTACCGTAGCATCAGGGGCATCGGTCACATAAGACAGTGGAACAGGATTCCACTTTCCAACCTGGATCAGCCCTATTCCAGATAAAGAGAATGTGTCACTAAAGATTGCACCCTTCAGATCATACATCTAGTCGAAGGTTTTTTGTTTTTTGTTTTTTGTTTTCCCCACTGCCCCCACCATAAGCAATATTGTTATTTCTGTCTGAATAATTCCCTTCCCTCTAAAAGGCAGGTCAATGAAAATATTCACAGCTTAGCTTTCCAAATCGGGAAATTATGTAAATGACTGGAGGGTTGTTTATTATTTTGGAAATAAAACCCCATCCATAAAACCTATGCCTGGGCCACATTTTCCTAACTTACGGGAAGTTCTAATAAGACATAGCTGAACCAGTTCTCAATGGCTTTACGATTTAGATAAGATTCTCTATTGCAATGGGAATCAGCATTGAAAAATACTTTACAGCCCATAAAACCATCAGAAACAGAATAAAAGAAACAGAACTAGATATTCAGTCATAAATGCAAATTGACTCTCAACAGTCCATCTGCTCAAATCCGCTCCTCACTTCCTTGTGGGTCCTCAGTGGAGCAGATTATTAAGGTCAATAAGCATACTAATGATTCAGCTGAAGTAATTTAAAAAAAAAAATCTACCTCGACATTCCACATGAGCAAAATGTGTGTTAACTAAACCAAACTGAATTAAGCCCATTTTTTAAAGCCACAGTCTATCAGGAACCAACGGAACACACAGACTACAGTCCTTTGAACAAAAATATCCAGGGCTTTCTCTGCAAGGTAAACAAAGGATGCCGAGCAATTTTTCCAAGCCCCATGGATGCCTTATTTACCTTTGGCCTGGGCAGCAGAGCTGTGCGAATAGCCCAGCGACAGCAGTGCCATTTCTATCAGCTGGTTGAAAAGCATATCTTTTCTCACCAACACAAATTCTGCGTGCTCCTCCTTGCAGTCGTATTCAATGGCGTTTTCATAATGTTCCACCACGCAGAAAACTGGTAGCATGGTCCCTATCAAGGAGACAGAGCAAAAGAGACGCAAACCAACAATCCTCAGAATCACAGTCTTAGGTGGTGGGGGCGGGACGGAGAGCTACGCCATGAAAAATAAACCTTTGCAACAGTGAGAGAAGGGGAGACTGTTTCCAAGGCAGACAGGGCACAGAAATACCGGCAGGCGCGCGCACACACACACATATACGTTTCTTTCCTTTTTTAAAGTTGTAAGAGAAATAGTCAAAGAGAATGTGAACCGGGTCCTAAGGTAACCTGGGCTCTACTTTAATTTTAACAGTGCATTTCCCCAAATCAGAGAATGCAGAATTACCTTTTGGATCAAATAATAAGGCTGACGAGAGAGGAGTGTCTGGTCTGATGAGCTGCGAGTGGTACCTGGCGCGCACGTGTAACTGACTACAGGGTCTTAGGAAGACCCACCTTCACGTGTCCTACACACTTTTGCTAACATTCAACTTTCCCTGTTTGTGTCCAAACACATTGTCTTGGATGATAAAATGATCAGCATTTGCCTCCTTTTTTAAGATATTGACTTTAATGATTCCATAAAAGAAACACAAAACTCAACCAAACTGATGTTCAAAATACATGATTTCAGTATGTGCAAAATGCAGATAAATGAGATTTACTGTTAGGGCTCTTCACTGATTCTACCTGACTCAAAAGATACCCCAGGAGCCGTATGTCTTTAAAACGAACCATCTTTGTTATAGTAAATGGGATAAAAATGAGAGGAAAGAAAGCTGGTTTCATCGGGACATCTTAGGATAAAGGCATCTGCAGAGATGTGCTGTGTTCTCTCTTTCTTTACTGTAATGCCATGTAATAAGCCAGCAGCCAGGCGATTAACCAACACAGGCCACGCCGTTGTTAGAAAAGAGGCTTCGAGAAACAAATCTTGGAATGCAGCAGTTCTCAAGGTGTTTACGCAGCGCACCGTCACGCTTCCGATGATAAACGGAAAAGGGTTAAAAGCAGATGCATCTGAACTGTACAGTGGCACACTGCCAGGGGACTGTCATCCTTAGCATAAATGATGACAAGGGTTACTTTACCAGGGCACCCAGGGTCCCCAATTAGTCCTCTAACATTAATGCCTCTCTCAGCCCTGCCCCGTGGACTCGCAGAATCCAACCAACTTCTGAACATGTCTCGTGCAGGCCAGGCAGAGCTAAAAAAGCAGGATGTCCTCCAGACTCCAGAGATGCCCTTTAAAAATGCCCTATTTGCGTGTTTCCGCCAAACAAAGCCAGCAGTAAAACAAGCTACATTTCTCTACATTTCTTTCTCCAGCGCAGCTTTCGTGAACTGTTCACAAGAGACTCTAGCTCTGACAAATAAACCCCTCTAGGTTTACTTAGAAAAGCTCACAAACTCATTTGAGGTACCCAACAGGCTGGGCATGAAAAACAAGCCCCAGAGCTTGCCAATCCTCCTGTCATTCCTTCAGCTGTTTTATACCGGGGAGGGAACCCATCAGGGGCCAGAAGACGACCTGGGGAGACCACAGCAAAATCAACACTGTGCTTTCTTCCTTGGCTTGAAGGTACTCTGGCCAAACCTCCGAGGCAAATTACAACATTAACCCCTTTTCTTAAGCCAGGCTTTCTCATCCCAGCCACAATTTTTATCTGGCACCTGTGAAGCAAAAAGCACGCAGGTGAAAAAGAAGAAAAGGAAATACTAACACTACCACCAAAAGGCTGGAGTCATTTTGTTGTTCGAAGTAAGCAGAGGACCTTCTACAATTTAACTGCATTTTAAAAACGTCACTATGAATGCAATGCTTAAAAAAAAAAAAAGCCCTTGGGCAGGAAGTGAAATTACTGTACTTTGGTTTCTCCTCCCCCTGTCCTGATGTCTTCAAAGAGCTGGGTTACCAGCACGACAAAAACATACGCATTGATTTTTCCTCTTATAGGAAGATACAGACGTGTCCTGCTCTCCGCTGCTCCTTAGACCTGTGAAATAACCGTAGGTCTTTCAAATGATGGAAATGCGTTAAGGGTTATCCTGGGCTCTATTTAGGGGGCCCCTATCAGATAATTAGGGTGGCTATTGATAAAGTGACAACAGTATCATTTAATTCCAAATTCAGCTGCTAAATCTGGGTGTCAGGCGAGACTTCCAACTACAGCAACTTCGTAACCTTCCAGCATTAAAAAAGGGGGAGTGCACTGGTCACTGCTGACTGCTAAAAATACCGCATGATTTAAACCTGGAGGCAGTCTTAGAAGCCTTTGCTGAAGGTTTATGAGCCTGTGTAAACAGCACGTCTGCCATAAGGAGCAGCGAAGTCTGTAGAATCCTTGTCTAAAACTGTCCTGGCATTAAAGTTTGCTGTGCAAATATCACATAATACCAGAGACAGCTGAAATCTCCTATTTAGGAATTTATGGAACTTATATGTTTGCAGGCGTCAGAAAGTCTTTTTTATAGAGCCCCAGTGCTTCACAGTACAATATTAATGCACTCGGTTTGAAAAGCCGTAATAAATTATATTTTTAATGCTCTTACCCTGGCTTTCTTAAGATGCATACATTCTTGGCAAACAATCAATAAATAGGGTAATCATGAGTAGAGGCCAAAGAATTTGCTGAAGTGCTGTTTTTCCATTTTTAATAGATAAAGATCTAACAATACGGACTGCTGTGTCTGTTCATTTCAGGATCAATATATTCTTTGTTTTCACCAAACCCAGGAAAAAATAAATGATTGTATGATAAATGTTATGCATCACACACAATGAAATTCCTCTGCCTTCTAACTTTATCTACTTAATATTCTTGGTTGCTACAAGCTGGCATTTTTAGCCTTTGCTTTCGCAAATGTAAGGAAAATCTGAATCCTATACAGTTATTCAGAGACAAATAAAGACCTTCTAAGGCACACACATGCCTCCCAGCATAGGCCCTGATTTATAGAAACAACAGTGCTGAATGCGGTCCAAGTTGTTTAACTTCATCAACGTGGTATCAAATAGGCAGGGAGGAATCGCACAGTCACGTACCCTCTCTCCTTAAAAACCTGCCAAAATCTGCCCTTCTTTTATCAAAAAATATCCAGCAAAAGTGAAAACACTAACGTCACTAGGTTTTTGGCTGCTAAATAATGAGTTTACTCTTAAGAAAACAAATCACCAAAAAAAAATGACATCACACAACTTTTACATCATACCACAGGAGACTTCCATTATCTGTGCAATTGCCTTACAGCTAGTAATCCTACGAAAAGGCTACGCTTGTAGTCGAACAATTTAAGTGTTTTATTCTTAATCAGGGTTAGTTTCAGCAACAGCCACCCACGTACCTTCTATGACAATAACACCTTGTCAGTGGAAGCCTTGTGTAAGGGAGACCATTATATCTAATTCAGTCCTTATCACCCACAAAGTCCAATGATTCCAGTCTACAGTGGAGTAAGATGCTCTGCTCCAGCACGCGAGTTTACACTTTCCAACGTGACTAACACTTCAGCCAGGAATAGAACTCATTTCAGATCAGAAAGAGAATCAAGGAAAAGGACGCACGAAGCCCTTTTCTGCCTCTCCACCCCGACATCCCCTAAAACGAGGAGCCCGGCGTGGATGCAGGGCTTGCCGCTTCCCAGGACTGGGCTCCAAAGTATTTACCTTTCCTAAGGTTGCTTTTCATCAGATGGCCCGAGTGTTTTAAAGGCACTCCCTGCATTTTTGCACCTGTACTTCCAAGCCTTCCTCTTCCTAGCGGGCTCCCGTTCTGCTCCAGGCGGGCAATCTTGGCTGGTGGACCCTTCGGATCGCTCACATTGTTAGACATTTCTGAATGTTCTTTCCCCTGAGTTGCCTCGTTCAAATGATCCATACTCAGTTACTCTCTAAAGATCACCTGCCAGAATTTAAAAAGAAGGAGACACGTTATAATTGGGTGGGTGGGGGGTCCCTGCATCTCTCTTTCTCTGTCTCTCTGTATATGTAATATCATGCAAATGTTTTATTCCTACGTATTTCTCTCCACAAAGATAACGTATTTGGAAGATTGCTTAACTAGATATATAATATAATGCAGATGTTCTTCTATTTCTAGATCACAGCATTATATTTCCATTCAAGATAACAGAATAATTCGTGGAAACTGCACCAACACACATGAACAAAAAGGTCATCTGTCACCTACCAACAAAACTTAAGTGTGGGGAAATGGGTTTACTTCTGGAACAAAAATTATGACAAGGATAGCAAAAAAGAAAAAAGCAAATTGTATTTATGTAGTCCCAATTTTTAAAAATGAGAAACGTTATTACAGAACACAGTAACAACACTTTAATCAAAGATGGAAAGATAATCATAGCCCAAAATATTAGTTAGAGCTGAACATACTTGTATTTTTATATAGTTTAACTCTTATGAAGAAAAAAAATATATATATGTATACACTGCCTCAAAAGAAAGTAGCAAACATCTGCTTTTTAAACTTTCTATTGGCTTTTCAGGTTAATTTGTAGAAAAAGTCTTCTACTGTCAAAGTGTCAAAGAGTTGCGTGACCTGTTTGAAAGATTTAGTTAAGACTTGGCTCAAAACATGTGATTGGATCGCTCCACCCCTAAGCAAATGGATAGAAGTGAAGGATTTCTTCAAATAGCCCCGGTACTGAAGGATTACAACCCAGATATTTTAGAGTTAATATTTAGGTGTCCATTAGTAACAGAAGACTGTTAACAATTTAAATAGCAAAAACTATTTTGTAACAGACACATTATATTGAACTGCTAAGCTCGCTTTAAAAAAAAAATCTTGATAATTTTGGTAAAACACAATTGCCAGTGTTCAAAAATAATCTCAGCAGGCAATGAAGTCAACATCTTAATTAACTTCAGAAAAAATTAACAGATAATTATTTTCAGTTGTATTACACATTGGACATCAATTTTCATACTGTTCGTAATAAAGGAATTATTTAGTACATTATCAAAGTCACTTCTAAAATACAGTTTTAACTAGCACCGATAAGAACAGGTGAGCAGAATTATTTCATGAACTTTGCTGGTACTTGAAGTACTGAGCTTACCAATATTAAGGGAGAGGGGACCATATTTAGAAAAACCAGAGAGAATATAATTATCACTTTCCTCCAGCTGTCTGGCAATTCAACATATCTTGTACTTAAAAATATATATATTCCACTGAACTGAAGAAGCTATTTAGATCTAGATTTGAAAGCCAGCTTGTATTATCAGCATGGCCTTTCTGTAAGCATTTTTTCCCTCTGTTTAACCACAGATTACTTTGTCCATTATAATCAAGGAAAGAGGTGATCAGGGAGGGGGGAGCGATGGTAATCTGTAGGTTTAAAAGCAACCTAAGAAGGCCAATTGAAGAACTATAAAGTTAGAGAAATAATGGCTATTTATCCTCGTACCCCAGGGTGGCTCGCTGAGACTAAAGGTTTACCGTTGATCGAGGTCCCATCTGTTTTTGGTTATGAGGTTCATTAACAATAAATGTGCCGCTTTTAACCACTTTTTATCAAGATGACTCTTTTCCATTCTATTAAACTGGAGTCTAAAGCCAAAATTAGTGGTGATTATTAACTTATTCAAAACACTCTTTATAATGCTTCACGTGGATTATCAGACACAACTGCTTTTTCTGAAATTGGTTGCCCTACCCTACAGCAGAAGATGAATTTTCAAACATACGATTTGAAAAGAAAATACTTAACCCGTAGGGCAATTTAAGAGGCCCCCCCGAAAAAGGGGGGAGCAGACAACAGCATCAAAGTTAATGCTACAAAACATATTAAGGAGTCATGAGGCTTAACAGCATTAAAAGCTGTACAGTAAACGAAAGTGATAGATGATAATTTAGTTAATGTATTGACAATCAAAACATCATACAGGTCATGCAAAATTGTCCTTTGAATACCCGTCTATAAGCAGCTATTAAACACTCGGTCATCTTGTAAAAGCTGTACATTATAAAGCAAAATTACATGCACATAAAACACCCAATTTATTCAGTTAAACTATGCCCAAGGCTTAAGTTCACCAAACCTCAGTTTGGAACTCGAAGAGCAACCTCCACCATGGGGCCTGCTGGACTGACAGCTCGGGAACTAACTAAGGTCTCAACAGATGCCAGCCTGAAGAGTTTCTTTGAGTCACAATTAAAAAAAAAAAAAACCAAAAAAACCCATTTTACGGTAACGTCTGGTTGGCACACAGAAAGCAGGCTACTTTCTTAAAACCCCATTTCCCTGTCCGTCAACTAAGTCCATCTAGGATAATTAATGAATTAAACAGTGAAATCAGGCACAGCCATTTCTTCCTTTAAAAAGAAAAAGCAAAGCACGAAATTCCGGTTTCAAGAATCTTTTTTTTTTTTCCGCAGTGTGGGAGCCTTTTCAACGAGTTCCTTGCTGGATCGCCTCCCTCACCCCCAGAGCACCCCATAATCACATTTAAAGAGCGTGTGCCCTTATCCATTCCATATGGCCGGCACGATCCAGGCCAAGCTTTCACTGTGACCTTTTAAAGAGACAAAGAAGCAAAGTACTATCTAGAAACAGAAACACTGCAGTTTTACTGAGTGAAATTAGCAAAACCGACCTGAAACTCACCACTTCAAAACTTGACAGCATATAAATAACAAAAACAAAGGAGATTTCCTTTGCAGCCCGGGTTCTTGAAGAGAAGTTCAAGACTGATGTTGTCTATGTCCTTTTTTTTTTAATTTAAAAAAAAAAAAAAAGCAGCAGACCTGAAGGCGACTTCCCCTGAAATTGTATTATTTTCTCTTCCCCTACCCCCGCCCCCCTAAGCGGGGGAAGGGCAGGGAGGGCAGAAATAAACGTCTAGAAGAGTAGCCATGGGAGAGGGGGGTTAAAAAAAAATCACAGTTCGAAAAACAACATATATGGTTTGTAAAATGTCTAACCTCAGAGAACGGGGTTTTCGATGGGGGAGGAGGAGAGAGTGGGAAACAGGGAGGAGGGAGAAGGTAAAATCGATCTGACAAGTGATTCGTTGTGGGGGGAAATCGTAAAAACAAAGCAAAACCCGTTAGGAGCTGTACACAGTGGTGGTGCTGGGGAGGCGAGGTGGTGACTGAGGATTCTTAAAAAGGAAAAAAAAAATCACTGCGGACAAGGTCTCCAGAAAGGCAGAAAAAAAAGGTCCCCTGGCTTCCCTCCCTCCCTCCGGCTCGCTGGGGTTCTTCGGTGTGAGGACAGAAAGTCTACTTCTGGCTGTCACTTGCGATATTATTCTCCAGTCACCCCGGAGAACGCAGGGAGGGGAAGGCCGGCTCGCCTCGCCTCCGGTCGCCCCCGCCCCCTCCCCAACGATTGCGACTGATATTAACAAACCTTAAACTTTCTTCCCACGGTCTCGCGCCCCCAACGAGGGCATCGACCGGGGGGCCGAGAGGGTGGGGGGCAGAAGGTCGCGGAAAAAGCCCCGGCAAGGCACTAAAATGCCACTTTTGATTCGGCCCTCGCTGACGACAGCCCCGAGGACCCCCTCCCTGCCCATGGACGCGGGGCTGCGAGCGTCTGGGGAGCCGAGAGAGTGAGGCAGAGAAAGAGGGCTGGGGGGAGGAGAGGGGGGATCGGAAGGCACCCCAGCCGCCTCCGCCGCCACCGACTCCCCGCCCCCTCCCCCCAAAAGTCGCCGAGCTCTCACTCAGCCGGAGTCCGAGGTAAACAACGAGCCCCACAATGGCACTGGGACTTGGGGGAAAAGAAAGCCAGAAACCCCGGCAAAACTGAGCAGGAGTTTCCCGAAAGCAAAGAGGGGGTGGGGGCGCCCCCCGGAGTCGCCTGGGCCCCCGGGCGGGCTAGAGGGCGGCCGCGGCTGCGGCGGTGGCGACGAGGCCGGCGGTGGCCGGGTGGCCC